TTCTTAACCAGTGAGCTAAAATCACACACTAAAACTAATTATATTTTGATAGAAAAGTGAAATACTCGTTTATGAGTTTTAAGATAACTGATAATTAGAATTTGGAAAATATTATTTCTATAATAGCTCGCATTATTAAATATGTGGTTGTGAGAAGTATTTTAATTTTTAATTTGATAACTATTTATAAATTTAATTTTGTTGTGATTTAATTAGAGTGGAATGGTGTACCAGGACTATGTGGTCTAATGGTACCCGGGTTGGATTTCCATTTGGAAGATTATGAGTTTGAGCCTCAATGGAGGTGTTATTGGTTCTTTGTGTTTTAGTAGGTTGAGAAAGTATATGAACAGATACTACAATGTAATAGAGCCAGCAACTTTCAAAAAAAAGAGTGGAATGGTGTTATACAAAACTTCAAATGGCATTAATCCTTAGAATTTCTTGGCATTAATCCTTAGAATTTCTTTTGCTGGCTGACTATTGAGAATTTGAAAAATTAATTAAATTATACCTTCAAAAAAATTAATTAAATCATTGTAGTTTTGTGATGTACGAAAGAATACAACTCATTGGAAAACAACAGAGAGAGAGAGAGAGAGATGGGAAATGGTGACAGCAGTGATCACTAACGTCAAATTACTGTTGCAATAAATAAAATATTCTTTAAATTTTTTTATTAAAAAAAAAAAAGTAAAAGGAAGAAAGAATGCCCGGTGTCAATAGAAAATTTTGGCCGCTAATTATGTAATGTATTTCACACTAAATCTAAATCAACAAAAACCTTTTTCTCGTGTTGCTTTAGAGGGAGCTATGAGTTTGAATCAGTTAAAATAGGAAGAATGAGATCAAAATAGTGAGAATTACTCCAAAAACTATAATTAATAGTGAATGCATAATTTTATTTTATTGTTTCATATTTGCGTTCTTAGTCCAACGGTAACAGTTATTACCATGTTTTGATAGTTGGATGTCGAATTTGGTCATCTAAGTCTTTGCCTAACAATAATATCCTTATTAAAATTGATTTTTTTTGTGTGTGTTGTTGTTTTTTTTTTTTTTGAAACGTAAAGGAATAGTGTGTGTGTGTGTGTTTTGTGTGTGTGTGCGTTGTTAATCTTGTTATTTTTGGACTTGGTATATACTCTGTGAATTTTTTATTGACTTGAAAGAATTAGAAATTACAAAATCAACTCTCACATCATACACCTTACTAAATAAACCTAGAAAACTCTCAGTATCAAATTCCACCTTGTACATTAAAATACAAATGTTTTGTTTTTAATTGATGAGAGAAACTCGACCCGCTAATCTTGCATTGTGATCTTAATTAGTCGGCAAAGGACCACAAGAAAGTCAATAGCATGTTTATGTTAGGAGCTGACTTATAACCTTGTGGTTACTGAGTCAACAATCTGATTAACTTTAACAAAATTGTTGGACTAAAAAAATATGTTCGTAAATAAATAATAACTAAAGAAAATGACACTTTTGACCCATGAATTGTTTCGTTGTATGTTTAGAAATTTGATCTCTGTAAATTAATTTAAACAAATTTAGTCTCTTAATTGTTCATAACGTTGCACTTTTATATTATATAATTATCAAACTCTATTGACATATGATTTTTTTTGGATCATTTAGAATCAATATTTCCGGTTAAAAATGACGTTCACATGGAGAGAATAAAACTCTAACAATGGATATTGATTCTAAATGACAAAAGTAACATCTTAACAAAAGAGTTTGCTAATGGAGTTTGATAATAATATATTATATAATACCACCCGTGGCGGATCCATAACTTTTTGTCAGTGGGGACGAAATCATTAAAACAAAAGGGATAGTTTGAAAAACAATGAAACACTTAAAAGATATAGTCATACATATTGTTAGGTATAAGTGAAAAATAAAACACATCAAAACTTTATAAAAATATTCATAACAAAATATGAAACATAATTAATTTGATAAAATAATTCAAATAGAAAACCCATTATAAATTACACATCTCATTATTAATATTTAAAAAATTATATTTATATATCCATACAGATTCTGCTGAAAGCCAAAAAAGAGTCATGGTGAACAATTGGAGATACGACCCCCTGGCCATTCCTAAGGTCAAGCACGGCTTTGCCAACTACTCCAAGCAATTCATTGTGTATATTTATTCGTTTTTATATACATATATCTAAAACGTGTACTATATATGCATACATATATACATACAAGGGCTATATATGGGATGGGAGTGGGGTGAGTGGGGGCAGCTGCCCCCATGCTAGGTCCGCCCATGAATACCACGGACAGAAAGAAACTTAATAAATAATTAAATGATTAAATCCCTTAAAAATGATTAAATATGTTTAAATCAATTAACATGAATCAAAATTTTAAAAGTAGAACAATTCAAAGGCAAAAAATATTGTTTCCTAATAACTACCATACACACCTATAAAAACAAATTGTTCGGAAAAAACACGCACAATGCGTTGCAAAATGTGGTAAAATGGAGACATTTTTGTCAAATATAATATAAAGTCAAAATAATTAACGTGTAGAAATTAATAAACGTTACTATTTTTTTCCTTGTTTTTTTAAAGTATTTAATAGTTCTAATCTAGAAATTCAAAATTATACACTCAAAATTAATACTATTACACCAACACCCCCAAATCTTCATGGTCCATTCTTCTTCCGCCATGTTTTTCTTTGAATGTAAATTTTGGGGTGGGGGTGGGGGGAGGGGGGGGGGCATTATAGTTTGAAATTTTGATAACATGTGACAGCATGCTTAATAAAAACAGCAAATTTACACCTCATGCCTGTCTGTTTCTTTCTAGTAATGCCTCATTTGATGCTTGTGACTGCAACATCATATCCACGCAACTTATTAATAATAATAATATAATAAATTACATTAAATTATACAATAATAGGCATTTTTCCCATCACTAATTTTTTTTTTTTATACGGTGAAGAGTATACTTATGTTTAAATATAATTGTTTATTAACTCTAAAATCTTACTTTGTTGACAATTTTTTTTTTTTTAAATCAGTACCACCGATAAATGGATAAGAATTTGAGTCTTGTTGATATAAGTTTGTTGTGATTTTTTGTACGTGGAGTTGTTAGATAAGTATTTTAAATTTTTAGTAAGTCTTTATAATAATAATAACAACAATACTATGGAAAATTCTTTTGTGTCTCCTACTAAAATTGGAAAGGACATAATTTTATTTTATTTTTGTGACGAGGGAAATTTACAGTCATTATCTAGAGGTGTGCACTGAGTAAATCTCACTTTGTGACTCTAGCCAACAAAGGACCACAATGAGTTAAATTAGCCTAGGTTACCCATATATAGCTGACCGGTTCAAACCAAGAAAGTCAATAAGCCGACAAAGGATCACAATGAGTTAAATCAGCCTAGGTTATCCATATATAGCTGACCGATTCAAACTAAGAAAGCCAATAAGCCGCTCCCACCGCGAGTCAAATTTGCATCCTTGTGGTTAACCAACTAACGGTTCGACCAACTTGGCAGAGGTCGCTCCCAAAAGGATTAAACATTTTGGTCATATCGATCAAGCAATAAAAAGGAGGAAAAAAAGTTATAGTTTTATATGAAATTGTTCTTCTTTTTTTTTTTTTTTTTTTTAGTCATGACAATATTGAAGATAGTAGCAAAGAAGTTTACTATAATTATGACAACATTGAAGATATATAGTAGCAAAGAAGTGCTTTACTATAATAATTAAGAATAATTCTGAGTAAATGTATAAGCTAAGCTACATACCTCTCAATTAATTATATCCCACTTTCAATTTCTCAATCACCTCAAGCACATATAATTGATTGTTGAAATTTTTTGTCACATTTTTCTACCACCACCAATTTTTGTCCAAAATTCTAAAATATATTTTAATTTTTGTCCATTTTTAGATAGATCAAAAGTATTAGATAGTATCCGATCCGCCAATTTTCCAAGCAGTGTCACATGAAAATTCACACTTTCATATTGCATGATTTCTAAATCCTTGAATTCAAACTTATATGTTCTTTCTTGAACAAAGAAAAGTATAAATTTACTAATACCATCACTTTCAATGTTGTTAGGATTCGTTGAAATTGGTATGTAGACATGTGATGAGTGATTCTTCTTTTTAAAATTTCAAGAAATTATTCAAAACTATAAGAATTTTACAATGTTAAAAACACACCTTAGTACTTACTAATACAAGAAAATATTATGATATTTTTATAAATAAATATTATTCTATTTACAAATTTGATATCTCTTTCTCTCACACACACATAGAGGTGTACACTATACAATGAAATTTTCCTTTAAAGCTTTTGACAAATTTTACGAGTAACTTAATAATATAACGTTTAAAAAATGCTATTCTTGAAGAAAATTATTTTAGTTACTTTCCTGCCCTGAAGAAGATATTTAGTATTAAGTAGGCAGTATTTGGAAGAAGAGACTAAGGTTCGAACTTCGGCGGCGGCAATGTGAAGATTATATTCAAAATGGACAGATCTCTTATTCGCATAGGCATTTGGTCCTGTCTATTGAGTCATTGTGATTTAAATATTCTTAAATACTTTGTCGGGCTGGGGTGTGAGGATCCTTGAGGTTAGAGATTCAACCTTTTGGGAGAAGATATTTAATATTAATATATTAGAGAAATTGTATTTATTGTGTGTCAAAAAAAAAAAAACATAACTCAATAATGCACTGTGCACAAGGCAACTAGGTATTTTTATACTTGTAAGAAAAGACAAGGGTAGCATTGTCTTTAAAAAGCGTATATACACACATACATCATATATCATGATGATGATGATAAATATATGAGCAATTAGAAGGTGATAATACAAATAATAATTTTTAAAAAACAAAAATAATATTTCATTTATTCGTTGACCCTTATAATTCCCAATGGCGGCCCCTACGCCGCTGGCCTTGCCAAACAATCTCTCTCTCTTTCTCTCTCTCTGTACTCTTTCCCCTCTCTCTCTCTCTCTCTTACATACTTCATTCTTTGGTATTAAAAAGAGAACAAACTCAGAAAGGGGCACAGCAAACATAACACAAAACACAAAGAAAGAAAGAAAGAGAAAAGAAAAATGGAAGAAGAGAAGAAGGTGTGGGAGAACATGAAGGTTCTCTGCATTTCTGCAGTGGTGTGTTTGTTTGTGCTTCGAGGGATGGCGTATCTGTGGTGGAGGCCGAGGAAGATGGAGCACCACTTTGCCAAACAAGGCATAAGAGGCCCTCCTTACCGCTTCTTCATCGGCAATGCTAAGGAGATTGTGAGCCTAATGGTGAAAGCCTCCTCTCACCCCATGACTTATTGCCACAACATTCTCCCTAGAGTCCTCCCTTTCTACCATCATTGGAAGAAAATCTACGGTGAGCCACCATGTTTTTGTGTTCTTTTTCTCTTCTTCTCAAAAGCCACCAACTTTCACTGTTACGTTGCAGAAACTATGGAGTTTGATCGGTTTCTGGGCCTTTTTTAAAAAAATTTTTAATTTTGGGTTTGGGAATGGAGAATCTGAGGTTGAATTGATGAGAGCTGAGTATAGTATAGTACTTTATGGTAATGATGATTTCAAGATTCTTAACATCTTTTAAAAGCTGACTTCTTCCCAATCCTATACTACCTTTCAACTTGTGATGATAAACTTGAGTGTTAGTTTCAGTCTGCTCCATCTATCCCTTTCTCTTTTGCCCAGATTTTTGGGTTAATTCATTCTCAGATTAATGTTAGCTGTGGTCTGAAGACATGGTGACAACGTTTGTTTGTGGTCCAAAAACTGTAACAATATAATGGGATAGATAGTAGTTTCTATGGCTCCTTTCAACTTTTCATCCAAAGAGCTTATGATTGAATCCTTGAAACCTTTTTTTCTTTTTCTTTGATGATGAAGTCTGTTTCCGTTTGTTAGTGCCATAGTTTTGAGTTGTCTTCTTCTTAACCTTCTTGTTTTGCCCCCCGCCCCACAATTGTAGGGCCCCTGCCCTATCCATCATATCATTCTTCTTTTTTTTTTTTTTGGATTGTAAATTAGTAGTTAATTATTATTATTATTATATAATTAATGAAAGAAAGTTCCATTATATTCAGGTGCAACATTTCTAGTGTGGTTCGGGCCGACGGCGCGTTTGGCGGTTGCTGATCCAGACCTGATTAGAGAAATCTTCACATCAAAATCAGAATTCTACGAGAAAAATGAGGCGCACCCTTTGATCAGACAGCTTGAAGGCGACGGGCTTTTGAGCCTCAAGGGTGAGAAATGGGCACTCCACAGAAAAATCATCACCCCTACTTTCCACATGGAGAATCTCAAGGTAAATTAAACACTCTGTTACTGTTACTGGATTATGGATGGGGGAAATTAAATGAAATTTTGACTCAAAATTTGATCTTTTTTCTTGAAATTAAATCTATCTCAGATGTTGATACCAGTGGCCGCCGGCAAAGTGGTTGAAATGTTGGAGAAATGGTCAAAGGAGGTTGGAGATGGAGAGGTGGAAATTGAAGTCTCGGAATGGTTCCAAACCTTGACAGAAGACATTGTTGCCCAGACAGCTTTCGGCCATAGCTATGAAGATGGCAAAGCCATTTTTAGGCTTCAAGCTCAACAAATGGTTCTCGCCAGTGAAGCCTTCCAGAAAGTTTTCATCCCCGGCTACAGGTTAATTTCTTCTTCTTCTTGATTATAGCCCCAGATTAATTATATATTCATTACTATAATTAACTCTTTTTAAAAAATTTTGGGTGAAATGAAGATTTCTGCCCACGAAAAGGAACATAAAATCTTGGAAATTGGAGAAGGAGATAAAGAAATCATTAATGAAGGTTATCGAAGAAAGGAGAGGGAATTGGGGGAAGGAGAATCTTGAGAGCGGGCCCAAGGATTTGCTGGGACTCATGATCCAAGCCAGCATGAAGGAAGCTTCCAAGAAGGGAGGGGGCGAGGTGAGCTATTCGCCGTCGCCGTCGCCGTCACCGGCGTCGACGATCACCGTCAACGACATTGCGGAGGAGTGCAAGACGTTCTTCTTCGCCGGGGAGCAAACGACGTCCAACCTGCTGACGTGGACGACGGTGCTGCTGGCGATGCACCCACACTGGCAGGACCAAGCACGTGAGGAGGTGCTCAAGGTGTGCGGACCACGTGACATACCCTCCAAAGATGATATTGTCAAGCTTAAGATGGTAGGCCTTCCTCATTTACTCTCACCTTTTTAGTGTGATCAAGACAAAAATATATATTCATCTTTTTGTCTTCTACTTTCCACCTTAATTACCCCCTCTCATATTAATTTGGAAATCATTAATTGTTGTTTAGCAAGTACTAATGTTTGTTTTTTTTCTCCCAAAGGAGGGCAATTTTGTCATTTCAACTAATTTTTTGTTTTTTGTTTTGGTGGCACAGTTGAGCATGATTCTGAATGAGTCCTTACGTCTCTACCCTCCGATCGTCGCCACCATCCGTCGGGCAAAGGCTGACGTGGAGCTCGGAGGATGCAAGATCCCGCGTGGGACTGAGCTACTCATACCCATCCTAGCCGTTCATCATGATCAAGCCATATGGGGCAATGACGTCAACGAGTTCAACCCGGCCCGATTCTCAGAAGGGGTGGCCCGCGCAGCCAAGCATCCCGTGGCTTACATTCCTTTCGGGCTGGGCGTTCGTCAGTGCATCGGACAAAACCTCGCAATCCTTCAAACGAAGCTTACGTTGGCGATCATGCTCCAACGCTTCTCCATCCGGTTGTCGCCGCGTTATAAACACGCTCCGACGGTGTTGATGCTTCTGCACCCACAATTCGGGGCTCCCCTCATATTTCAACGCTTACCCGAACATGAACCCGAAACCACAACCATGCAAGATCAAGGGTCCTGGTAGCGCAAAATACCTAAACTACCCCTATCCTTCCGTTGTGTGAGTGCATATATGCTTAGCTTCTCAAATGACCCACCAAGAAAACAAAAAAGAAAAGAAAAAGGAGGAAAAAAATGTTTATTAGAAGCATAAGTTGTAGGAAATTAGGATATAAAATCGGTGTGATTCCTTAATTGCCCTTTGCCCAATGGCCAATTGCTAATAGAATGACTGACCCAAAAGTAGAGGCATGCTCTGTGTTTTGCCAAAGAGTTTGGATTTTCAGCATGCTAGCTACCTCCCCTGGCTAGCGTCTTTTAGTCTTTTAGGATTTTTTTAAAATCTTTTTTTTTTTTTTTTGGTTTAACTTGGTGACCCAATCAGCTCCGATCCCCATCATCATCATCATCCCTTATGTGTATGTAATGTATATGTGAAGTAGTCCTAACACAGTTTTGTTATATTACCATATATACCCCCTTCATGATTGTGAAATATGGTAGGTTTGTGTTGGATGGAATTGACACTCTTTCTAATTTCTATACATTTTTTAGATTTTAATTTTAATTTCTCCTCTCTTTTGAGCAATTTCGTTAAGATGACAGCAAAAAAATTAAAGTACCAAAGAATGATTTTCAGAGCTCTATGAAGTGGACTTGCCAATAGGCCATAGCTCGAAAACAGAGATGCAAAATTGGGCATTGAATCACGCTTCGCACCCACCCCTTGCCTCAACACTTGTCACCATACGTTTGCCTCGATGTTGGACCAAATATCTTCACTCTGTGTGTGTATATATATATATATATATAGTGGGCATATTCAGATGAGAATCATGCTTCCAGTGAGAATTGTAAATATTTATCACGCGTAACAATTATAAATACAGTTGTTGATATGTAGATGTGTACTCAAAATTGAAATTTCATAATTGTAATGCTGATACGTAAAGGTGCATTACATGGTTACATATTAGCAATTGAATAGTTAACTGTTACGAGATGTATTTCAAATTTGAAATATTTATCAAAATGTAACTACATTTTTTCCTTATTTTATGGCCCTTTGATCAACCAGGATTGCCAGACAGATTTAGTCCGCAGTTTTTACATGGCTAAAATGTTCTCATTTGATCCTTTCTCCAATATATATATGAGGGGGTTCAATGAGAACAAACTTTCACCGAAAAGTGAGGACTGATCTAATCCACCTATTTTGGTATATCAACAATTGGTGGCGGGTGAAAAATAAGGGGAAAAGGGGTGGGGTTAGCTTTATAAATATTACAAATTTGAATAAAATTGATCATATATTTTTGTTACTAAAACCATCAATCATTGATGAACATGACGAGCGTCTATCATCTGTCCTAGCAGGATCTATTGAGAACCACGTACTGCTCTTATGCTCTTGTGTGATCGTGCAGATTGCACATTTAGGCATTACATATTTCATAATTAGGCATTGCAAGATGTACAATTAATACATTATGCTTATTTTGTTATACACTTGTAACTTTTTCTAATTTTACATTTCTTATATCTTCTAAGATGAATTGAAACTCAAATCAAAATCGCCTTACTTAGATAAAGAATAATATGAATATTATGAAAACTTAGTGATAAATAAAATACAGTATTTTAGTAGTTTATGTTGGAAGGATGTCTCCACCGCACTACAACATTCAACATTGCATATATATGTATGTACATATATTGGAAGACATAAAATGTATAAGAAAGGTGAAAAAGGATTAATGTATGAATTAGAGAGCATTCTTGGAAGCTGAGGTTGTCCTAACAAGGCAGTACAAGGGGGAAGGTGCTTAGAAATTATTGTTAAATTCATAGATTATGGTGCCTACTATACACACAATTAACAAGAAGATCATAAATAAATAAATATATAAAAGAGAAAGCTAATAAGGCAAATTAAAGAAGAATTGCAATGCCCAAGAAATGAGATGTTCTTTTGAAGCAAATAAATTTATTTAAAGGTGGTTTTGAATCTAAGCATGCAAATGCAAATAATTAATACCCTTTTTAAAAATGCATTCTCCTTTATGGGGTTTGGCAACTGTGAGTTAATTTAACAGTAATCTGGTAGTATGTAGTGAACATTAAAGAGAAGAAAGTTCCCTTTTTGTGTATTGCTTTTTGGGAGCTTCTCAAATCTCTCATTCTTCAATTCTTGGAATTGGATGGTCCCCCTGCCTAACCCTCCAAAGCATGCATGTGCTAATTCACTCATCACCCTTCTCTTAATCTTTCACCCCCACCCCCAAACCTTTTCTTTTCTTGGGCTTATGTTAAAAGAATCAAAGCATGCCATCCATCATGTGAATCCTTGCATAATTATTACATTTTTAGAGGTGAAAACAACAACATATCATACACTATTTTTGTATTTATCAGCTACTCATTATTGATTGTTGCACCACATATGTTTCATTAGTTGAAACTGTATTGCATTGTGCATTTATGAGTTAATTTCATTCTTCCAAGGTTGAACCCCAACCTTAAGGGCCCACACACTCTGACCTGTGCGCACAAGGAGCCCCCTCACTTTGAGAGGTAGCTCCCACACTGTTACTGGTGAGATTCGATCCCTGATCATTCTTTCAACTTTTCACCTCTATGACTAGTTGAGCTGCCTATGCGGGTTTTATGAGTTAATTTCATATTTAGCCATTTGACGATAATAATTATTTCTAATTTTACTCATTGACTTTTAAAGTTACTAAATTTAGTCTTTAAGTATTGAATCATTTATAATTGCAATCCACTGGTAGCGCAGCTACGCCTTGTGTGAATAGTTAAGTTGACATTGAGGGTTGAAAAGTCATGACCATTATATTGCGCTAATTGTTTCTCAAAACGGTGAATAAAGCCTTAATTTTCTTATTCCAGCATTCATAATTTTACCCTCAATTTTAACTGTTCACACAATGAAAAGCTTACCGTCGATTACAATTGGAAATAATTCAATAATCAATTATTAAATTTAGTAACTTTAAAAGTCAATGACTAAAATTGAAAATAAGTGATATTCACATGATTAAATTCAAAATTAAATCTAAAGAAAATTATACAATTGAGTTAATTTCACTTCTGATTCATCACATATATCAGTAATTTCAAATCTAATTAGTTCAGCACTTTTAATCTTCGACTCCAAGTATACTAGGGAATAATATTTTTTATTATACTACCATCCTCGTACGGAAGATTAAAAGTGAATTTCACTCTAAATTAAAGTAAAGTCTAAACATATACCAATTTTCAAATAGAATACTATATTCATTTCAACAAATTAAAGATTGGTTTAATGCATCATATACTTAAAACTTACTAAACCCAATTAACTATATATCTCACCATTAATTATCTTTCCATCCAATCCAACAATGACCTTTAGTTTTCTTGATGAGGCACCACTGGGATTCAAGTAGTTTAAGTATTTAGTAATCGTCTATAAATGTGTCCCATTCACTTATTTAACTAAATGTCCACGAGTTTAGCTCAATAGTTCAATAGACAGTATTTGGGAGAAGATACTAATGTTCAAATTTCGGCAGCGGCAGTGTGGAGATTATGTTCAATCGCGCATCGACATTTGGCGATGTCTGTTGAGTCACTGAGTCACCGTGATTTATATCCTTCCAAATAGTCTGTCGGACCCTGTGCGTACGACAGAAACTAACAGAAAAGTTGTTTAGACAATTCATAATTTATCTCCTTCAGTAACTCGAGAAACCTAATAGATTAAAAAAAAATCGGAAGAGAAATAAAATAAATATATTCCAATGTTTAAAAAAAAAAAAAAAAATTATAACCAGTCCTTGTGGTAGTACATGCAGAAACATAGTGTATGTGACACAGCGTGTACTGGTAGCTTTTTATTCTTCCTTATCACGTCGCTAATCTCGAATTACGTGCCACAAGAATCATAGCCACCTGATTATTAATCAGTAGTGTACAGTTACATTATTTTTCTGTTTCCGTTAATAATTGTACTTTGCCCACAACTACAATTAAGTGTCTCACCAAGCTCTTATTGGCATTACATTACATCTGTACTTAATTACATAAGACAAAAATAAAAATAAAAATACAACAAATTAATCTTATTCGTACGTACTAAATCAATAAGATAAAACACGTTTTGCTCTCTAACAAAAATGTTGTGTCGCCTTTCAAGTCAACTTTTAATTTACGTTACGCGCAATGAATGAATGATTAATTAAGCATTAATACTTATTGATTTGTTTAATAACGTACGTGCCTTTTATTGATTAGCGTCAATGAATACAATAATCGAGCCTATAATATTTTTTTTTTTAATCACAAGGTGTCTTGAGCAGGCTCTAATTGTAAACTCGTACCATACTCAGATTAATTCTCATTCACACAGAGTCGTCTCAATTAAGAGACAAAGTACGGTCAGATTGATTAATTTTACATACAATAAGAGATTTGTACTCTCAACCTCTCTTAAGCAATGAGAGTACACGGTAAATAACGTCAACTAAGCTGGTTATCGTAGCCTATAATATTAATTAATAATAATTGTTAATTGTTAATGTTAACATCGGTGCTACAACATTGTGCTTTGTAATATGCACGCTTCTAGATATCAGTTAGAGAGGGATATGTCCCCCGCCACATTGCTACACGACAAACTCAACATTCTAAACTACACTTAACCATGTTCTTCCATAATTACTCTTAATTTATTAATTGGGTAATTATTGGAATATCATATGTATAAAAAAATAAATTGAATTTTAAAAATAGAAAATGATATATATTTCGCGGGGGGGGGGGGGGGTGGTGTTGGGTTAGAATACCCAAATCAGCTCATTCTAAGAACAAAGCCTTCCTTGAGGAAGTCCAAGCACATCTCAGGCAATGGCTGATGATATATAGAAAATGATATATATTTAATCACTTACACAATTTATGGAGAAAACTCTTATATATATGCCTCCGTCACTTTTTATTGTTAAAATACGACATTTTTAGGTACAATATTGTGCCATTTTCTTTATTTATTAGTTTTACACAGGTAAATCATTCTTCTTCTTCTTCTTTTTGGAGTAAGAACACTCCCGCCCAGGGCGGGAGTTAACGTACTGACCCTTTTAGACCTAGTACCATTGGCATCAGCCGATAGGAGCCCCAAAATGTCATCAGGAGGACCTTTTAAGACAATTGTACCCGTATCCTTGGTCTGATCAAGATTTGCCAGAAAATCCGCACATTTAACTATGTAAACATTATAAAATAGCACTTTTGGCTCCCTAATTATAGACGACCATGGCACGAGATGAAGCCGCACGATCGTCGCACGTCGCATAATGGAAATAACCACACCATAGACTCGACGATTGAAAATCGGAGCGACAGAGAGTAGCCAATGGAAAATCAGAGCGACGGAGAGTTGCTGATAGAAAATCGGAGCGACGGAGAGTCGCTGATGGAAAATCAGAGTGACGAAGTGTCGCCGATGGAAAATGAAAGTAGTGATGAGTCGGTGATGGAAGAGCGTTG